GTGTATTGATCTACGTTGAGAGGAAGATCCTTTTCATGAACGTTTATGTTCAATTCTCTATATTATTTTATATAATAAAGTTGTTATTGTTTTTCAAATTTGCTTATCTTAACATTTTAATACCTTACCCCCAGTCACGCTAAAATAATTAAATTGCATTAAAATCAGGTAATTAAAATAAATAATTAACAAATTACCGACGTGGCATGTAGGGTGGAGATCCCGTTTCCAAATTGAGCGTGACAATAGGTGTAACGTTCAGTATTTTAACATAGAAATTAAAACTTCTCAAGTACATACATTCTCCGACATCAAAATAATTTGACAACCAAGACTTCATGGCTTGTAGCTTGCATTGCAGTTTATGTTTCACATAACTGCGAAGTGTACTACACTTTAGTAAAAATTATTCTTCTTAATATCAACTTTCTCCTCCCCTCTTTACCAAAAATCGTAAAAAATATAAATTATCAATACATAAGACATTTTTCATTCAAGACCTTTTATAATACAACAACATGGTCCAAGAACTAAACTACAATTTGGTTTAATTCAACTATGCTTTATTTACTGTTTTGTCATCCATAAAAATCATTATACTCCTATAAAGCTAATATAATAAAATAATAATTCCAATTTGTTCAAATATTCGAATATAATTGTAGCACTATAGAATCGGAAGAAAGGAAAAACACAGGATAGGTAAACAATAACAAGAAAAACAAAAATTGAAATGATTAGTCCTTGAACATTTTTTTATTTTTAATCTAAGGAAATGTGACATTAGACTGATGTCATCACATAGTTCATCAAAAAAAAAAAAATTTATAATAAACCTTTTCAAAAAACAAACGCAAGTCTTATAATACAAATTTATAACAGAAAAGATAGAAATACTTACTAAGTTTAATAAAAATTCAGTTCAAGTTTGAATCAATATGAATCAATATTTTTAACTGCTTTTACGTAAAAATATTTTCAGGACCCGCCTGAACACATGCCACAACCTGAAATCAAAACAAACTTATCGTTAAATACTAATATTAATTAGAATTATTTAAAATTGTGCAAAAAAAAAGTTAAATAAATGTATGGCATGATTAACTTTAAGCTTTGTTTTTATACAGTGAATACGCATAATCTCAGAGTCAGGCACCTCGGATCTAATAAGATATGTATCTGTCAATTATTCACAACAGATTTTTATAGCTAAGAAACAATTTTAAAATGAGTTCTTCAATGAAAATGATTTCGAACAACAAAATATTGCCTTAAAATACCTTCCTAAATAAAAACAGCAAGAAAAGAAACCCAGGCGTGGTACTACGAACCCCTGAGGCAACAAGCTTGATACGTTCTACAGGTTTCAATAAACCACAAGTTGATCGGTTTTATGACCTCTTCAACCTGCATGAAAAATTTAATTTTCAAGCCTCTCAAATTTATAATGCTGACGAGACAGGAGTATCGACGGTTCACAAAAATGAGAGAGTTTTGTCAGTGAAAGGTAAAAAGCAGGTTGGAAAACTCACTTCAGCTGAACGAGGACGCAACATCACTGTAATGATTTCTAAGAGTGCATTGGGTCACTTTATTTACCCCCTATGTTCATTTTCCCCTATAAAGAAAATGGATAAGAATGGTCGGCTTACGACTCACAAGCTTCAGCCATTAGACCGCGTGTTTTTCAAGCCATTCAAACAAGCTTATGGGTCAGCAAGCGCATCGTGGATGCGTCAGAGTCTTGGTGCTCGACTGACTGATTACGACATCACTGGACTGTTAAATATAGCATTCACGAAAGCTGCAAGATTAGAGATAGCCTAAAGTGGTTTCCGTTGCACGGGTATCCAGCATTTCAATCGAGACAGGTTTTCAGACCTAAACTTTTGAGATCTAGCCAGTCAACAATCCAAGCTCCTAGTGCGACAGCATTTGAAAATACACCAGGACCGTCAACCAGTGCTCTGCCCGTATCGTCAGCTGCCATTCAACCTCATGAAGCAGTAGCAAACTCAAACGTTGACCCAGCAATTAGCGTTCCAGCTGTGTCGTCAGCAACCTAACAAGAGGCTATGCCAAGTCCAAGTGTTGATGTTGGGAATATTAATGATGTGATTAATGTTTTGTCACCTCTTCCAGATGCCTTAAAGAAACGATCAACAGCTAGAAGAAGAACACAAAGAAGCGAAATTTTGACAGCTTCGCCTTACAAAAAGAAATTAATGGAGAAGACGAAAGATCCTAAAGCTGTGGAAAAGGTAAAAGAATATGAAAGTGCAGGTGAAAGCGAAGAAGGTTGCGTCTGAGCCGGAAAATAAGGAAACAGAGTGCATAATTTGTGGTGAAACATTCGATGAGGACTGGATCCAATGCAAAACATGTAAAGACTGGGCTCACGAAGCATGGGTAGATATAAATCCATCGGATTTGTACTACAACTGTGATGTGTGTGTCGCCAAAAAAACGATTTGGCCACTAATTACGTGAGTGGCCGGAGCTACCCGCTACTTTAAAAGATACCAAAATTTGACCACTAATTGAAGTGGGTATAAGGATTGGATATTATTTTCGTTTAAATTTTCAATATTCTAATACGAATAAATATAAGTGTTATTTTTTGTAGTTTTCGCTGTATTCCTCTTGATAATATAGCCACAATAACAAAAAAAAAATTGGCCGGGGCTACCACCCTTTCCCCTACTGCATCCTATGCTGTGATCTTTACTCTAACTTTACCCCTCGAGAAAAATGGATTCCATACAGAGAATTTAACAATTGGGCACATCTGCAATGTGTTGACTAGGAAGAAAGATTGGCATATGTTTATCCTAATTGCTATTTTAATCAGTCGTCTGAATAAGAAGTTTAGTTTTTAATGTTTTTATTGTTTTCTAAGTTCAATGCGATATGATATAATTACGGACCAGAATTCAATTACCTTACGTTTTAAGAGAGTCTTTTATTATTTTTTTGAAAAACTCGGTCGAATAGATCTCATTTACATTACAATTAAGTGTAATTAGTTAATATAGAAGATACTTTAAGGTTTAAATAGCATGAACAATAATAGTTAGTTGTCTTTTTTTACTAATGTAAGTATCGAAGATGCAAATTCTTCAGGTTGGATGAACGAGGAACATTTTGTGAAATTTATTAAACATTTCATCTATCATGTTAGATGTTCTCGAGAACGACCTGTGTTGTTGCCTCTGGATAACCATAATTCCCACCTTTCAATAGAAGTACTGAATATTTGCAAACAAAATGGTGTAACAGTTTTGTCCTTCCCGACTCACTGCTCCCATCAAATGCAGCCGTTGGACCATTAAAAAATTATTGTAACTCGGCAATAGATAATTGGATGGTAAATATTCCAGGAAAAACGGTTACTATATATATGCCTGGTATTGTTAAAACAGACCTTCCATTGGCTGCTACTTCCGGTAATATAATTGCCGGCTTCAAAAAACAAACCGCCAAAACAATGAGAACATTTTCTCGACAGAAAGAGACATTATTTTTAATCTAGACTAGTAAAAGAGTAGAAGAAATTCAAACGCGAATTAAGTGCGGTTCTTGCGACTGTGACTTTATAAATGACACTGAAGAAGACGAAAAAAATATTGGCTATAATCAATACATTCGTTCGATTTTACACTCAATCAGCTACCGTACAATATGAATGTGAGTTGTGTGAAACTTGAACAACTGCAAGAAGAAAATTTTTGAAATCCTTCAATAACAATACCGACAGATTATTTAAATTGCCTAAGAACCAATGTACTGATTAATATTTCTTTATATAACTTACAGGATTGTTTTTGTCTGTAAACCATTTATTTGTTCTTTAATAGTCTTTTGGTTCATCTAAAACATTGTTTTACTGATCCTAGATTTTCATGTTTGATTTCGTTTTTGTGATTATGTTTAGAGTTTTTATTATTCTATAACCAAAACCATCTATTGTATTTTAGATTTTAACCAGTTGATTGTATTTTGGAAGTGATAGAAACTTCCTTGTTTTTTATCATTAGAACCTTCTAAGTGAGTGTCTTTAGTATCAATTTGAGTAAACTTATCAACACTAGTAATTACATTACATTTATATCCAAAGATTCACCTCTAGTTTTTAATTATAATCATGTGTCATTATTTTTATATCAGAATTATTTTAATTTGAGAACTAATTTTATAGGTAACTATCAACCCTTTCAGCTATTTCATAAAAGTCATTTTTCTACTATGGATTGAGTAATTGATAATAACGGGTCTACTGGTGGTCGATAATTGAGTTAAATAGACGAAACCGCTGTTCTTTCTAATTTTACGAATAATGAATTTTTATAAATTACGAGTTAATGATTCGTTTATAGACGTTATATTGTTAGGAAGATGAATTGTTGAGCGATGATATAATAAATTATTGAAAAATGTTGGTGTACGGAATTATGATGAAAATTAATGTTGAAGTCAACACATCGCTAAAACGGGCGAAAATTGNGTTGCAACTATTTTACGATACCCCTATCGAAAGTACGATATTTTACCAGCATTCCCTCCCAAGCGAGAAGTCACGTCAAGAAAGGAGTCTGTCATGTTCCGTATAGCTTCCATTCTCGACTATGGACAGGGTGGCAATTCACACCCATGACGGAATGTCATACTTTCACCTACTGCTGTTGAGAGTACTATTTTACGATACCCCTATCGAAAGTATAATATTTTTCCTGATTTGAAGGATGAGAATGCAACATTCGCTCTTAGGTATGGAATCGCATCTCCTCGTTAGGAAAGGATTCTATCATCTTCCACGTAGTTTCCACTCTCAGCTTTGTCAAAGGTGGTAATTCATTCCCGTGAAGGAATGTCGTACATCTTGTTAAAAAAAAAAATTGGCCGGGGCTACCCCCTTTTCCCCTACTATTTTATTATTCCTCTGCTGAAAGTATGATATTTTTCCCTGATTTCAGGCATGAGAGTGCAACATTCCCTTTCGGGTGAGAAATCGCATTTACCTTTCATTCGTTAAGGATTCTGTCATCCTCCCCGGAGTTTCTACTCTCAACTTCGGGAAGGGTGGCAATTCACACCCATGACGGAATGTCATACTTTCACCTATTGCTGTTGAGAGTAATATTTTACGATATTCCTATCGAAAGTATAATATTTTTCCTGATTTGAAGGATGAGAGTGCAACATTTGCTCTTAGGCATGGAATCGCATCTCCTCGTTAGGAAAGGATCCTATCATCTTCCACGTAGTTTGCACGCTCAGCTTTGTCAAGGGTGATAATTCATTCCCATTCCTCTTGATAATATAGCCACAATAACAAAAAAAAAATTGGCCGGGGCTACCACCCTTTCCCCTACTGCATCCTATGCTGTGATCTTTACTCTAACTTTACCCCTCGAGAAAAATGGATTCCATACAGAGAATTTAACAATTGGGCACATCTGCAATGTGTTGACTAGGAAGAAAGATTGGCATATGTTTATCCTAATTGCTATTTTAATCAGTCGTCTGAATAAGAAGTTTAGTTTTTAATGTTTTTATTGTTTTCTAAGTTCAATGCGATATGATATAATTACGGACCAGAATTCAATTACCTTACGTTTTAAGAGAGTCTTTTATTATTTTTTTGAAAAACTCGGTCGAATAGA